TTTTAATTAGTTGTTTAGGAAAACAAAATAATAACATGTAATCACAGTTATTGTTATGATATTATCATACAAATAGAAAAAGAGCTATTTTCAAAATTGATTCAAAACATTTAGTCAACCCTAAAACTAACCTATGAATATTTGGATTTTTCTTTTGTCCTATTTAACATACAAGTTCACATTATTTATGAAATTACCATTATTATTTTATTTTTTTGAAAATGTTTTTTTTTAACTTTCTCAACCTCATCATCTTCAAATATTTACAAGATTGTCATTGCCATCAATTCACAAACCACCATGAACAACCAATTTGAAACTCTTAGTGCACCTCAAATTGATTTACACTTCTTCTTTCTCAATTTTTAGGATGTAAAAATAATATATATCTTTCACTTTCTCTCTATATTCATCCAAAAAAAACCAAGATTTTGATTCTAAAATTTTTATGGTTCATAGAGCCATTGAAGCTTACAATTTTGGTAGGTCGCTTTGGTTTGAGATTTTGGGTGCTTGGAGAAGACTTCTGTGTGCTAAACAAGTTATCTCACTGGTTGAAACTATGAAATCAAGATTTTTTCCATATTTGATCGTCCAGACGACTTTCGTCTGGTCAATGCAGAAGTTAATTTTGCAATTGACTTTTAAATTATTTTTTCTAGACGACTTACATGTAAGTCGTCCACATTGTTTGATAAAAAAAACTCGAGACGATTTACATGTAAGTCGTTTAGGGAAAACGGATTAGTTTTGCATTTGACCGGAGTGTGTCACAATTTTGATTTTTTCTTGGACGACTTATATGTAAGTCGTCTAGTAGAAAATTAAAAAAAAAATCAATAAGTTTTTATACCTAGACGAATTATATGTTAGTTTTGCAATTGGAATATTAAAAAAAACAAAAAAATTCTAGACGACGTACATGGAAGTCATCCATGATTTTATTCTGAGATTCTGGTTAAACCTTCCTTATCTTGGATAACTTCCGTGTAAGTCGTCGGACGGACGACTTCCGTGTAAGTCGTCTAAAAAAAAGAATCTTTGTTTAATATTTTAGTTGGAAAACTAAATTGAGACACCTTCAATGCAAGTCTTCTATAAAAAATCTTCTTTTTTTTTTTTAATTTTTTACTAAACAACTTATATGTAAGTCATCCACGAAAAGTCAAATTTCTGACACATTCCGGTCAAATGCAAAACTAACACGTTTTCCCTAGACGACTTACATTTAAGTCGTCTCGAGTTTTTTTTTATCATACAAAGGTGGACGACTTACATGTAAATCGTTTAGGTTCAAATCAATTGAAAAACTTGTAAGTGCAGATGAAGCGACGAAAAACAAGTGCATAAAGTAAAAAACACACAAAGTTTATTAACGGAGTTCGTTTCCTACATCTCTAGGACGTCGTCCAGATTTCATTGCCTTAGAACAAGGAGCAACCTACAATTTTTATATGGTACAACACACACACTAGTGTTTACCACTCTTTTCTAAGAAGCAATCTCAAAGATTAGGAATCAAGAACACATGCATAGATCACCATTCGGCTCACTGGAGCACACTGTCTTCTACAGCTGTAATCTTTGCAGATCTCTTCAATGAAACCGCCTTTGCTAAACTCCCCTTGAGTTTAGGCTTCAATCTTCCACTTTTCTAAAGTACTTCACCAAGTACGTCAGCACCCAACGCACACCAGTGTCACAAAGAGCATGTCATCTCCAAAGCACCACACGCTCACCACGAGCTACACACGATGGCTAACTCGACCACATAAAACGCCAACATAGAGGCCGCCAAACTAAGTCAACATTGGACTTCATCAGATAATGCTTCGGAATTTCCGTTGACACCAAGCAGTAACACACACATATATACAATGAAACCTCTCTATCTCTTCTATGAGGTATGGTTGAACTTTATTGATAAAACCAAAAAACAATAACTAAAAGAGTTAATTACTTACTTCTTAATATATGTGCAAAACCTTAAACATCATACTTTTAAATCCAGAGGGAGTATATGATTGTAAAGAATGTTGACAGACTTTTGAGAAAAAATAAGAGAATTCTTCTCTAGATCTTTTAATATATATTATTGAACAGGTTGAAAATAGGTATAGATGGTTGGATAAACAGAAAAAGTACAAGCAACAGAGAACGCTTACAACAAAAATAAGTATGAAACTCTTAAAATTACTGCGAATTGGAAAAATCTGAAAATTACCATCCTGAGCTAGTGTTGTGAGAAGCGTCTCTTTTTATTTTCCATTACAAAACGTACCATCGACAACTATAATTTTGCGCATAAAGGAAATCCATTTACGCTCACACCAAATACAAGAAACACATATATGAATCTTCCAAACTTATCGATTTGAACATGTGTATTGTACATGTATTTGTCCTTCTTATCATGTATAAGTAAGAAGAAATTTTTTTAAACCCACTCTCAGGTGTCCCCTCATCGATTTTCCTTGCAAATTTCCGCATCCGATGTGACCAATAAGACATCTGTCCACATGAAAAACGATACAAATAACTCAATCGCATCGCAGAGTTAAGAGAGCCGCAATGTAAAATTAACTCAACCTTATCATTATTATAATTCAGCTCTACCATTATAATAACTCCGCCGTAACTTTAATATTAAGTCAGCTGCAGGTTACTATTAAGCTAGCCGCAACGTTTCATATTACTCAGCCATATCGTTAATATAACGCAGCCGCAACAAAGTAATTAACTTTACACAAAATTGCTTACTAATAGCTATTCCGACACTCGTAGGACGGACGGACGTACCAACGCTGCCGAGAAACTCCTTGTAAACTATCCTAAAATATCTGGTGTTGTTTGTCAAGATCGATTAGAACACTTAGTTACAAAACATGTATGATCTGAATCGTAAATACGAACATGAAATACCGTGGATTACCCATCAACCCAAAACTTAACAATAAATAATGTCGGAGTGGATATGTCTACTTCAAAATCAAATCAATCTCTCACTGAAAGAAGTTTCAGTCGTCTCTCCAAATCATCTTTACTCTCGTATCGTTTCCCTACAGCAAGGTTTAGCGAAGACATCTCCAGCCTTGGAACCTCCAGATTCTCTTTAGATCCGCTCATCAACAAGTTCTGGATCTCTTCTTAGGAGGTAGCGTTAGTGAATCTTCATCATGTGTTGGAGACTCATCGTATGAGCTGAAACTATAATCTTCAGATGACGCACCGTCCGAGTCGTCAAACATATCAAATCGGCTTTTAAATTATTTTATTTGTTTTCTTCGCCTACTTCATATTCTCCGTCTACTTTATGTTTTTCTCCTTCTAATTTACAAAAGCAGTCATTCTCATTGTCCTTTTGTTCCTCCTTCAAACTGCAACCATCGTAACCCCCATTGTAATTTTCGTATCTAGATTCAACATCTGAGCTAAAACTTGAAAAACATTTTACTCTTCTATCTTGCTCTATCATTCAGATTCGTTTCACCAAACTTGTTCTTCGTAATCTCCACACAGAGACGTAACTGTATGATTTTCTTTAGGCTTAGAAAACCTTACATTTGTCGAGTATAAGAGACCTAAATTTTTGGAGTGTGATGAGCCATTGTTTTCAAAGATTTATTTGAGAAAATGTAGCTAAGCTGAATCTGATGCCTCAATTCATTCAATTCATAATCATCGAGTACAGACTTTGCGAGTTCTTCGTGTGTTCTATTCTTATCTAAATGAAGAACTCTACACCCTCTATGGCCAGCGCTGAATACATATCTATTTTTCTTAATCCAGTTACCGAAAACAATAATTACTAGATCCATAAGATCTCAGAGAAAGATGAAGAATAAGATGAAGAAGATAGATAAAGAAGATTGAAGATGATGAACCGATAGAACGTTAATTTTGTAACGTTCGTTAATGATGACATAGAAAATCCGAGTTGATGACATGGCAGATGAAATGGAAAATTGGTTAGTCAGCCACTAAAAGAATACATAACTCATCATAAATAAATCAGCCCTCATGTACAATGTAAGTCAGTGGAAACGTGAATACTATTTCAATAATTAAACTTTCGCTAAAAATCAGCCGTAGTTATGATGGAAAATAATAAGTCGACCGTATCATCAAATAAATAAGCTGTCAAACGAATGTTATTCTGTTAATTAATCTTTCGCTAATCAGTCATCATAAATAAGCTGAATTACTGTTAATTCATCTAATTACGGCTGATTAAATATAAATCAGCCGTAACAACTTCTCATAAGTCGGTCATAAATTTAATAACTCCTCCAGTCGATGTTCATTAACCCATCCATGGAAACATAACTCAGCTGTATCATAACTACAACACAGTCGAATTTTCCAGAAATCACCACCGATGTATAAGTCTATTGTAACTCGTGTATGTAAGTCAGCCGTTATCCCATAAATCAGACAGATATCTGTAAATCAGTCATCACTAACGGCTGACTTATACTCTTAAGTCAGCCAATATATCTTAAGTCAGACGCGTTGTTATCTAGCCGCAACGTAACAATAATCTAGTCGTAACGATGTTTGTAACGATGTTTGTACTGTCTTACGGTTAACTTAATGAAAACACGGAATCAAATTCATACGTGATGTCGGATTTTTGCTTACGTGGCATTAAAAAGTAATGATATTATTGTAAATACGTTTATTCTCGTAAAGTAAAAAAAAAAACAGGCTTGATATTAAAAAATGACAGTAATAAAAAAATTGTATGGTTCTCGTTGTTGTAAAATATATAATGGTTGAGCAAATTTCCCAAGAAAACAATTGATTGAATTTTCTATATTTAGATAATAGTTATTTAGATAAAATAAAATAAAACATGATCCGCATTCAATGAGATAGTTAACTAGTTCCTATTCTTCATAAGTGTCCATAAGATCAACGACTACACCATTTAAATCTCTTCTTGGTATCTTATTTGATGTTGGAGTTTCAGAATATAGTCCACAGATTCCACACCATGGTAACAGAATTGAGACACTAAAAGTAACCCACATTCAATCAATATTTGGGTGGATAAGTAACCCACATTCAATCAGTATTTGGGTGAATTTTCTTTTTGATACAAAAAAAGCTAGTTTCACCTTTTTATCGGGAACCCAAACATTGTAAATAGTCAGCCGCAACTCCTTTACCACTAGGCAACTCAACGTCGGTAATATTTGGGCGGATTTGAAGCATAGAACTTCACAATGTGGTAGAGAAAGATTGAACCGTATGAGTGACAAAATTACAAACAAACGAAATACATCGACTATAGTGCTTTGATCATCAGTTTACTCGTGACTTTCCTCATTGCCACATACCTCCTCTAACATTTCCATAAACCCTTTCTTTTTATTCCCTCTCACCGTTGTCGTCGTCATCGAGCTGAAACGACCCTCATGCATTGATGCTTCTTCAAATCTTGTCCACAGCTCTTTCTTTAGAGTACTCTCTCCCGCTCTTGGTCTGTTTTTTGTCATTACACTTTCTGCTTCTTTCAACAATGGTGTACTCTCAACCGCCATTGACATGCTTTCCCCTAAGAACAAAGATCACAGAGAGTGATCATAAGACCACATGAAATTACCAGAACATCAACTTTATTGAAAGTTTCTTTTTATAGTACCTTTTATGTGTGCTGCTTCTGGTTTAAGGTTTGTAAGAGCAAATGAGGATACCGTTCTTGATCCACCAGTTTCATCAACTGGTTTCTTCTCATTCACAGGTGGCTCCAGTAAAACAAGTGTTTTGGGAGGTGAAAACCACCAAACCGGCGAGGCTTCAAGATCGTGTTTTCTAGCTATGGGAGCAAGTTTTAATCCCATAAGCTCCGGATACTTGGAATAGAGATCGTCTGTTTCATCTATACCAGAAGACTCAGAGCTCTGTGAATCATTAAAAGTGCTAGCTCCCAATTCGGAGCAGGTGGACTTACAAGCCTCTTTCTTTTGCCGTTGAGAAGATTCAGGAACAGGTTTAAACAGTGTAGTAGTTTTCGGAGGAGGCACCTTCAAGCAAGGGGTTATTAAAATCTCAGACGGAATATTCCTCCTGAGGACTGGTGAAGGCAATGGCTCACACTCTACCAAACTTTCAGAGGAATCCATGAAAGAGTTACCAAGTCCTGCAGTCTTCATTGACTCATCTCCTAGACCACCATCACCTGTTTCTTTAGAAGCTTGAAGCGGTTGATTTACAGCAGCATTTGGAAAGATCCTTTTGGATTTCAGCTTAGATTTAAGGAATTCAGATTTTCCCAAGGGGAGTGGTGTCAACATAAACAGCTGCCTACCCTTGTCAGCGTTATGATCACCACCACGCCATGCCACAAGAGGAGAAGGAGACACTAAGGGCTCGAACTGAGTAGGCTCAGGACTCTCAACATCGTACAACTCATCTTCTTTGCTTGAACTCATCAAAGACCGTTCTTCCTGATCCTTAGAAAGCAACGCTTCTTGCAATCGAGGAAACCAGGTCTGTAACATATAAAAACAGATCACAATTCCAAATGTAAATAGCCTAAACACTAGAAGAAACAAAGCAAACACAATGGGTCAAGGGAATGAAACCTTTAGTGAGGAATGCATATCGGACAAGACAGAGTTGAAAGACTCAACTTCTGTTGTCCCTTGTTTGCTCAAAGTCTTAAGCTTTGTGGCTTTCACAACGAGCTCATCAATCTGAGATTTCAAAACATTCATTAGTCTATACAAAACAGACAAAAGAGACAAGAATTCTCAAGGAAAGAGCAGGAAGTAAGGACCTGGTGAAGAAGAGAAGAGATATCAGAATGTACAAGGTAGAGTAGATCCAGTTCACAATCATCTCCATTTTTGTCTTCTTCTTCTTCTTTAACTGCAAAACAATCAATCACTCAGAGAAGGAGTCCATGTCTAAAGCTTAGAAGAAGCGAGAAGATACCTGTTTCTCTAACAAGAGTATCTCTTCTGGTCATGTAACGCTCCATTTCGCTATTAAAGAAGCTTCGATTTAACAATAATCTGGATCTGCAGAAATCTCAAACAAACAAACAAACAAACCAATTGGTATCTAGATAGAGGTACACGATTCGCTTCGAAATTGATAGAGACGAAGAGGAAAGGATAGAGAAAGCACCTTGCTGAGCGAGACGGAGAATTCGGTCACGTAGAGGGATGAGCAAACGTTTATCAAGCCTTTTACGGCGGAGATAGGGCTGGACGCTCCGGGGTTAGGGTTTTTAGAAGGCGGGATTTTGAAATTTCGAATTCAGGTTTGGTGTTCGAAGAAGATGACAACTATGTACTGTGACTAACAGAGAGATATACATGAATAATTTTTCTTCGTTATTTCGGAAGAGTAAAATTATTTAATATCATCAATATTAATGGCCTAAATTTAGTATAGGTTATTGTTTGACAATAAAACCCAAATATATGGGTCTTGTTCGCAGCTTATCGGGCTCGACATATGTATAGGTCCTATAGAAAAATATATTAAAGTTCAGAAGACTTTGGGAAATATACCAAGGAATGAAAGTGAACAATATATTCTTTAATATTCATAAAATAATTTACCATTTATAAAAATTCGTTTTTTTCTTTTAATTCTTTCTCATTCCTTTTATTTTAAAGTAAATATAGAATCAATTTAGTCATCCTAAATTTGATAAGAAATAATCAAATCCTCATCATTCTTATACTTTTATCTTCTCCGTTTTTTTCTATTTATTCGTAATGTTCCTATAATGTTATCAGTTGAACCATTTTTATTTTAAAAACATTTATCATTGAAAAAATAGTTTTATTAATACAATATGCATTTAAATAACTGATAATAAATGGTTTAAAAATATTTCATTAATATCTTTAAATCTAAAACGTGATTTTCTAAATAATTTTCATCTTCTTACCTTTCTTATCAATTTCATCAATCTAAAAACGACACTTTCTATTGGGCTTAGTTCATCAGGGATTCAATTGATTAAAAAAAATTATTAGCATTGTTGTAACATCGTCTATGTAATATCTCTATAATATTATCTGAGAAGTTACTTTCTTATGTATCGCGTTCACGTTAACTTTCACGCTGGTTGATTACTATGATACCCCTAATGAATTTAAAAAATACAAATATTATTATTTCCTTTTAATTTTTTTCTAAATAACATTATAAAATAGAAAGGAAACATATATAAAGATTACAAAACTATTTAAAAACGAAAACATAAGCATATATAAATATTGTTTCATAAAAAATAAAAATTCACAAAATAGTAATATTTAATTTAAATATATTTTAAATAACATATAAATATTTTTGAAGTAACAATATAATTTATATATATATATATATATCTTCTTAGATAACAAAAATAATATTTGTATATAATGTGATTCCATAAAAAAATTTAACACAATTAATCTTGATATTAGAAAAAGAATTTTTTTTTCTTTATTGAAATATCTTTTCTTTAAAAAGAGAAATATTTTTTCCTTTAAAAACTCATTTTAAACTATAAATATATATATATTTTCAAAGTAATTATTTTCTTTGTATATATATATCTATTTTATTAGATGATTACATAAAATAATTAAGGAACATAAACATAAATATGTTTAATTGGCAATTTTTTTAATAATTAGTATTCTTGAAATGTGTTTTTTTATTTTTAGTATATTTATTTGACTATAATATCTCACAATTATAGCAAAACTATAAATTTTATTTACTTATATAATATAATTTCACAAAAACATTAACATTTTTACTGCATATTTTAAGAGATATTGAAAACAAAACTAAAAATATATATTTTTTTTTTACGAAAAATAAATTTTAATAATAAACATGTTTTGATCAAATAACTACAATTATTTTAAAAATACATAACACTATATAATTTAATGAAGTAGATATATTATATTTTAATAGTTAAACTTATATGTTTTATTAACAACTCTTTTTATTTTTAAATTTCTGTTTTTATGTTTGTGGAGCTTAATATAACCATAATCAAAATACTTAAACAAATCAGAATTCTTATTTTTAAAATTATTTAAAATAAATTTAAGTTTATCATCCAATCAATCTAAATATTGTAAATATTGATATGTGTTCATAACCGTCCAAAATTTTATTAGTTACTTATGTATGTAATTTAAAATCAGACAGTTTAGTTTTTTTTTTCTTTCTAATCACAAAAATCTTAAGTTATACATAATCTTACTAGATATACTTATATTTCTAAGATAACAACCGGCATAAATGCAAATAAGACAATTAATCAAAAATTTAATATATTTAAAATAAAAAAGATTATAGTTGAATTCCTAGAAATAGATAGAATCTAATATATCCAAATGATAACTAAATCAACCGTAAAAACAATAAAACTGACAAAATATAACATATCTAAAATTATATATTAAATTAATATAATATTATTAATATAAATTATATCTACAAATTATAAATTAATTTAAAATTTTAAAGTAAATATCAACCAATTATTATAATTTATTTATTTTACAAATATTTATGTTCGTGCATGAACACGGGAAAATCACCTAGTTTTTTATAGTTTGTAATACATAACTAACCAGTGTTGGAAAAAAGAAAACATTGTTGTATCAAATTTAGGGCTGGCCTTAAGGTACCTTTGCCACTTTTAAGGTAATGCAATTAAAATTTCACACAAAACAAACAACGAATGTTATTTTTTTCTGAGAAAAGCATCGGATGCTATTAATATCATTTTACTGCTAAAGTTTTTACAATTGGTGCCAAATAGCATCACATTACAACTATATATTGCTTAATCTAAAAGAATTTACATCATTTAAATATGAACTTCAAGTTAGAGTATATAACATGCACTCTCGTAGATTACTCTACGTCTTGTCGTGTTACAAACAAAAGAAAAAAATTCTACGTCTTGTCACAAATCGAAATATAAGAAATTTGAAAACCTATTAAAAAATGTGCACTTGACACACTTCGTTCCAACTCTCACTGTAGATCGCCACAAAAAAATATTCTTTTTTTAATATGAAATTATAATAATATCGACCCAGAGAATCGGGAAATCCAATCGGGTTACAAGTTTGATCAGAAACAAAAGTTTTCAAATCAGTGTATTATAACCGAGTTTCGTCCATCCAAGAAACCCAGTACATTCCACTAGGTTGTTATTAAAAATTTTAAGAACGTGAGATTCTCCTCGTTGTCTCAAATACCGGAAATTTCTGTGACGTCTCTGGAGTAGTTAGCTTCCACTGGACTTCTCAACACCTATAATTGTCATTGTCAATTAACGTGCAAGCAATGTAGAATAAGGTTAATGAGAACAAACCGAGTGAAAATCGCTCAAGAATCGGCTGTACATTCTTCTACACGCCTTAGATACACGGGGACACAAGACCGGTAAAGACTTATGATCCACGAACAAAAGCAAGAAGGCGGGCATGGAACAGCAGTAGCCACACGAACAAGAAATGCTCCAATACCTGTTAAAGCGTTAGATAAACAACACTATCTCAAGCGCAAAGCACCCACGATACTCGGATGTGTCGAAATCCGAATGCACCACCAAGGAGAGAAGGTTTATCAGACAATAAAAAAACACTTACTGCTTTGACAATCGCTCTTTCCGAGAACCAGGGAAAGGTTAGCTTGAGCTGTCCGTAAGTGAAAATGTGGCACAATTCACATCAACAAACAAAGAACAAGAGCAGTAACCAAGTGGAGCACATCGACAGAGCTCCACATGACGCCTGAAACCGAGTAGCCGCGAAGAGAGAGAGAGAGATCGAGCAGAGCATCACAGCACCGCGACGGACAGGTCATAGAAAAAGTCCCCGCCTTTGCACCACTGTAACACTGCCCACACCAAACACCACGAACACCAACACGCATCGGCCTCAAGGCTAAGCAAGACCAAGAGTTAAACCAAACCTCCAAGGCACCATGGATTCAGAGACACAAAGCACGAATTTCTGAGTCACCAAGGAGAAGACGGATTCCCTGAACCCTAAACCACTCAAAACCTTCCCAACAAGAGATTGAAGACTACAATCAAGACGAAACGGTGCGCCAAATGACATCCTCGACATGCCACCGTCCCTCCAGGGCGCGTAAGAGACTCCTTGCAAAACCGTAAGATCTGACTCCACTGAATGCGAGCTCACCAACCCATGTCGAGACTCCACTGTGTTGTGAGCACAGTAATGGCACCTGAACCAGATCCCCATCAAACCTTCCAAACCGGCCAGTTAGGAGGTACCAACGACAAAAGTTCAGTCCAAGGAAAATATCTCAACAACCAGAAGGGATTTTGGAATGAAACCAATTTTAAAAGAAATGCAACTCATCCGTTCAAAAGTGAGACTTTGGATCTTCAGAAAATATTTCCGGAGCAAGAATTTATGAATTTTCCAAGTTGGAGGTTCCCCAGCCCTTCCATGTGCGAGTACCGGATTTTAGAAGTGAATTCCAGCCAAACCAAGAACCGGCTTGAATCAAATACAACTGTAGAATCTAATATGGGTTTCTTATTTTGCCCTAGAACCAAGAATGAGGAGGAAAGGCCGATTTTAATTGAAGATATAACCAGTTTCTCAAAACCGGTTATAAGGAGCCACTTATGGAAAGATTGAGAAATCAATTGGTCCAACTCTTTACAAACCGAGATTGGCAACCAGGACTTGATCCACACGATCAAATGGTTCCAGAAGACATTCAAAAAGATTAAGATGGACCATCATGTAGAATATTTAAGGCCAGAACCGAATTCAATCAGAAGATCTACATGGTTTACTAAATTGGCCAAACCGATGCTAAGTAATGAAAGTCTTTTATTCCTTCAATTTGTTTCAGACCAAACATATCTATGGATACCAGGAGTTAATCTAAACAATCCAGGAGACATCAAAGAAGCCCTTACCTCCACCTGCACCCAGAGGATCAGGCGGCTCCTCATGCCCATCAACTTTTCTTATTCGGCCATGTTCACACAAGGAAGAGTAAATAAGTTCTTACTACAACTTATTAAAGACCAACGACTATTTTATCCTGTACCATCAACGTTCAAGACCAAGGAGAGCCTATTCATTAATCAGAGGCTACAATTTCGTGGATACAAGACAAAAATATCAAGATACAAGAAGATACTCTCAAGTGCTACAAATCTGCTCCAAACGGCTTGAAATCTTCAAGGAGCCAATCCAATAATTCTTTTGCTTAAATTTAATTTATTTTATTTCCTGTTAA